ACAAGCAGTAAGAACAACATCACTCCAAAAATATCGGGGAATATTTATCTGGAATAACAAGGCACGGGTGACTTCCAACAAATGACGGTTCTTGCGTTCAACAACACCATTTTGTGGAGAGTTGTAAGCATAAAAAGTCTGATGAATAATGTCAGTTTTACTAAGATAAGCTAAAAATGATCAGATTCATATTCTCGAGCATTATCAGAACGTCAAATATGGATACGACACCCATATTGAGTTTTTATTTCCTTACGAAATGTCTTAAATATAGAGAATAATTCAGACCGACCTTTCATCAGAAACAACCAAGTTACACGAGAATAATCATCCACAAATGACACAAAATAAGAATATTTATTAGATGAAATATTCTTTATTGGACCCCATACATCATAATGTACCAACTCAAATAGACTAGACACATGATTATTGACTCGAGACTGAAATGACACACAGTGATACTTACTAAGTTGACAAGCTTCACAAGACAAAGATGGCACAAAATTAAGACTGAAAATCTGACGCTTCAGATTTTGGAGAGAGGGATGTCCAAGACGACAATGCCACTGAAAAGGAGACAACGAGGTCTGTAAATCCCAAGTAGGGGAATCAAAATCAAAGTAATATAGGCCACCAGCTTCATGCCCCGTACCAATCTTCCTCTTCGTCTTAAAATCTTGAAAGACAAAATAAGAAGGATAAAAGGTTACAGAACAGTTAAGAGAACGAATAATCTTACTAATGGAAAGTAAACTAAAAAGAAACTGAGGAACAAATAATACGGAAGATAAAGACATATTAGGACTCAAGTTAGTAGTCCCCAAACCTGAAACTTTAGAACAAGAGTAACACTACGTGTGGAGGTAGCAGACTGATAAGTAGAAAAAACATCAGATGCACCAGTCACGTGATAAGAAGCGCCAGAGTCTATAATCCAGGGACTGCGATTGGAGGACAATAAACAAGTAGAAGCAATACCTGACTGGACAAAAGTAACAGTGGAGGAAGAGGGAACAGCCTGTTGTTGAGATAGGAACTAGTCATACTCCTCTCGAGTAATAGTAACCAATCCAGTGTCTTGCTTTAGTTCCATAACAGTTCAACAAATAGCAAAACGAAAAGTACTAGATCACTGAACAAGACAAGAATCACCTACTGCACTGCTAAACCGAAAAAGAGAAGATTGCTAGATCACTAAACCGGATTGGAGAACTCCACTGGACCGTTGAACCGGACTAAAGAAGTCCACTGAACTGCTGAACCGGACCAAAGAAGTCCACTGAACCGCTGAACCGGACCAAAGAAGTCCACGGGATCACTGAACCGGAGACAAAAAAACAGGTGAAACCAGCCTGAACCAGTCCAAGAAAATCTACTGAAAGTCTGAACCAGACAAGAAATAGGTGTTGTACTACTAAACCGGTGCGAACCGGGTCTGAACCGGACTAGATGGAGGAGAACTGAGTCTAAACCAGACCTCTAAACTCGTTGGACCGTTGAACCGAACCGGACCGTACTGTTGAACCAGACGGGACTGCTGAACCGTACCGGGTTTTGGGCTAGACCGAGTCTGTCCGCTGAACCCGCTAGACCAGGTCATGGGCTGGACCACTTTAAAACCTAGTCTTGGGCTGGACCACTTTAAGACCTGGTCTTGGTTTGGATCTGATCCAGACTTGACCCTGGCTCCTTCTTCTTGGCTGAATAGGGTTCCCTTGGAACCCTCTGGTCTTCGAAGGCGCCAGACAGCACCACGACCACCACAGCTACACTACCACCACGATCGATCACACCACCACACCACTTTGACTGCACCTCGACCACCAGACCGAACGACAGACCACCAAAATGGACACCACAACGGAGAATCACACTACACCACCACAGCGAACACCAAACGAAGGTAGACGATGACCAACAATACCACACCACCAACAACGACGACAAACGATGGTCAATAATACAACGCCACCACCACTAGCGACAATACCACCAACGAATCAACCACCACAACTATATCACCACCACCACTGTAGTTCGACGATTCAACGGTACACAGTCACAACAACTGTACCACCACTACCGGTATGGTTAATTTATTCAAAAAAAAAATATATATATATATATATATATTTAGGATTAAACTTGCACTGATACCATATTAAGTTTAGAAGATTAACACAATATTAGAGAGAAACAGAGAGAGGTTAAAAACTTAATCTACCTCTCATACATCACTTGTATTTGTAGTTAACTCATAATAATAAGAATTACACATAATACCCTAACACTATTAACAATTTACACATACTATCCTAATACTTTTAACAACACAAAATTAAAAATTTAGTGAGCATAATGCAACTAACAAAAAAAGTTTGCATTTTTAGAAGAATAAAGGTTATACATTTCTAGAGTGGATGGAAAACGTTTATAAGAAGGGTGCGAAAATGCTGTATCGGGATGGATGTTTTTTTTTTTGCCCCGGAAACAGAATTGGGTATTAAAGATGCTGCGTTTTATGCTGATGGTAATATCTTTTCAGGACAGGAGAGCCAATGCAGCAATCTGAGATGCGGGGCAAAACTGTGATGGTGTGGGATATCCATAAAACCAGAATGTTTTAGGATGTATATGAAAGGTAATGCAGTTTAGCAGGAGCCCAGGAACACATGTAATCTGCAGAATAGGTGAAAGTATTACATCTTCATGAAATTGTTCACGTAAGAAATGTCACGACCACTGCATAAAAATAATGTGATTGGGTGAGGCCAGTGAATTTTAACTTCAATATGGACAGCCAAAATGCAGCTTCCGGAAGAGAGGGTGGGAGATGATATTGCTGTTTTTGAGTCATTAACACATGGAATCTGACTTTAAAGGAGTGAAATTTAGGACTAAAAATTCTTAACATAACCCACCAGTCTAACACGAAATTGGGACAATGTTACTATGCATGGTATAGTGTCTAATGGTTCTGGATCATAATGAGCCACCAGTCCCACTTATTACCTAGGCTGACACCATTTCGATTATACACTATACGAACACGACTACACACATTATAAAGAGTTGGATTTGTGCTCAGCATTTTTTGCCAAAATCCGATGTACATAAAACACAAATGCGACAATAGAGGATAGCAGATGAATGCTTAAAGTATGAACAATAGAGGGTAGCAAAACTAATTACCATTCAATAACTCTCACGAAAGCAAGTTCAAAGAGAGAAATCAAAGAACAAAGAACCCAATATGTGACCAATTTCCGCATGTGATAGTATGAATTAGTCTCAATTGCCCGAACCGAAGCACAACTGCCAAGAACAAATAATTAGTACCACCACCAACAACAATGTTAAATCAATTATACAGTCAAAATTAAACCCAAACAAAAAAAATTAAAACCCAAGAACTAAATTTATGAACAGTATGAGGAGGTAGACAACTTTACTCTTCCCTCATCAAATGTGGAGAGAGAGAGAGAGAGTAATTAGCACCATTACAAACATTAAAGTGAAATTAATTACACAATCAACAGTAAACCAAACAAGTAAAACTCAAAACTTATATTCATCAACAGTATAAGCAGGTAGACAACTTTACTCTTCCCTCATCAAATGTGGAGAGAGAGAGAGAGACAGACAGACTTACAGAGGGTAGACCAAAGCAACTAGAGGCCTGCAAGTAAAAGAAAGCCGTGTAAGAATATGTAAACGTATACACACGTACATAATGCACAACTACAAGTATACTATCAGCTTAGAACCAATTAACTTCATAATGTCACAAAATACACATATGTGAAGTGAATTCCTCTTTGGATCTGATATGCAGTGAAAGTTGGATCGCTCAACACTGAAGAGAAATAGAAAATATGAACCTAAAAAGCAAATTTTCTTTTCTTTTTGAAGAATAACATCAAATTATTTTCCAAAATTTTCTTGGTGGTAAGAAAATAGAAGAATCACCAGGCAAGAACATCGAAGCATTTCAATGAAAATTGGAGTAAACCCACAAAACCCATTTTGGATTTGACCAGTTTGTAGCTTTTTTTTGGCCTTAACTCCCAGGTTTTTGTTGAAGATGTCTGATCAGAAAGCTTTTGAAAGAAAAACAAATTGGGTCAGACAGTTCAAACAACGTACGAGTGGTATTTATAGTTATTACAAACAAGCATAATGGGAGGTCAATGGACGGACTCAGACCGGTCCTTTTACACGTCCCTTACCCTGCAAGCAAAATAGTTCCATCCCAATAATGTATATCCTATGGTCGGAGCACACACGGTATCTACGTACTTATATGGACGAAATCAAAATTTTATTTTTGAAAGGGCCAAATTTTATGGAACAGATGAACAAAAATTTGAATTGCATGGGAAAATAATAACTATGGTACTCATTCAAATAGGTGGAAGTAAAAAACTATTCAACTCGAAAATTATCAATCACATGTAGTTTCCTGAAATACGACAAATTTTTTTTACAAAAAAGTCTTAATACTAATCATTATACAACGTATTAAAAAAAAAAAGAATTTGGAGGCCGATTCCTAGGTCCAATCGGATTTTAAAATAAACTCACTTGTTCATTTTCTTTTAAATTAGGTCTTTGTTAAATAGTCAAAGTACTGAACATAACTAGCGACCTTTATAATTGATAATTTACAAATTGGTATTAGGCACCATCAGTCAAGTAATTAATAATTAATGCAGTAATTAAAAAAAGAGAGAGTAACTCAAGCAAGGCAAAAATGTAGAATGGTTCGGTCAACGTGACCTACGTCCACTATGAATGGCTAGGGTGGTCTGAGTATTTTATTACTTCGAGGGGTGTAGGGAGAGCAGTGAGATACAAGCAATGAGAGAGAGATGAAAAGTGATAACAGATGTGCTCGATGTCCCCAAGAATTGGCGGGGCTACTGAGGCGCCTTTTTAGTAACTAAGTAGCGAATCTGGTGGAGCTGGGGGCTATCTTCTCAACGGATGAGACAGTTACGAAGCTCCCCTTAAAATCAGGTCAAATGATGACGTAGTGGTTGACTTTTTCAAGGTGGTGTGGATGAGGCTTTTGGATTACCATGCTTACTTTCTTAGTAATGTAGCTCCTCGAAACCTGATGAGTTTGACTGGGTGTGGACCTCCCTTGGGTTGGACCCATTGGATTTCTTTAAGTTGGGCTTTTTATTCAAACTGGGCTTATAACATGAGTTGGGTCCCTTAGGTCTGGTCCATCATTTGTCCTCCAATGTCATGTGTCCAATGAAACTTGGAGAAGAGGGCATTCGGTTGAACTTGTATTTCGGCTGACGGAGACTCCTTTTGACTGACGACTCCTTTCCTTCTTGAAATATAAACTCTTTTTGCCTGTAGGATGTCTCCAGTTATATAAACTCCCCCCATTTTACTTCCTTTTAGTATTTCAAAAAGCCCTAGGGCATAAATTGGGAATTTCTTCTTTCTCTCCTCATTTCATCCATTTTGAGAGAGGGCTTGAGAGGTTCCCAAGGACAAAGGGAAAAAGGAAGATTTGTGATTTCATTTCAGAGTTTAGTGCTCAGAGATGATGTCGAGTCAAGGAGAGGAGGTACTTGATGGATCGATTAGTGTTGATGGAGAAACTCAAGCGAACTCTGTGGAAACAAGAGGAGTAGTCGGCCTTGGGTTAGCAGTCCAAGAAGACACCAGAGGCAAAATGGAGGCAATCATTGAAGGTCATGCACCAGGAGCGACCTAGGCGTCGTGGCCCGAAGGAGAGGCGACCAAGGCGCAGGGCGCTGAGGTCGAGGCTACCCAAGCGTTGGGCCTCGTGTCCAAGGTGACCCAGGCGCTGGGCATTAAGGTCGAGGCGACCCAGGCGCTGGATGAGGAGCTGCTGGGCAAGACGCCGTTGGGCAAGGCGTCGAGTGCTAATCGCTATGAAGGAGTGCTATTTGGTGATGAACACAGGCATGGGAGCCCTCGAATGGCTTTGACAGGGGCTGGACGTGGCTAGGTAGGTGTGCGAGTGGCTCCATCGAAGCTCAGGTGCGATCAGGCGACGCTAGACACAGATTTGTCAACGATAAGCGAACCAAGCATGGCGGTGGAGGTTGAGCATGGAGCTATGAGGCCTAGGCACGGGACTATAGAGCATATTATGTGGGGGAATGTTAGTGTCTCTGGTGATACTGATTCTGATCAAATGACGGATAATATGGCTCGCTCAAGTGGAACTCCATGAAATCAGATACCTCAAAGCTCTCCTTTGTAGTGGCTTGGGCAATGCTTCACTTCGCCCTTGCCATAGCAAACATCGGGGCAAGGTAGCTCTTGATGATGACGGATCCAAAATAAGTACTATTTCCAGTACCCTCAATACTGACTCTGATATTCTGCGGACTATTTCCACTTATAACATTCTCCCCACGGTACTATATCGTCGAGCTGAGATCGGTGAATCTACTTGTGATGACTCCTTTGGAGACATTGTTATCTACGAGGAAGTGTTTGAGGTTGGGCTGAGGTTCTCAATGCCTTCTTCTATTTGTCACATTCTTCATTGCTTTTCATTCCCGCCAAGGCGGTTGGCGCTCAATGGTTGGAGAGTTTTACTAGGGTTCTGGCACTGTGGAGAAAGGTGCATAATGAGGATGTTTCTCCTTAAGAGTTTTTGTGTGGTTTATACTTTAAGCGAGACTCTTGCTCCCAATCGTGGCTAGTACTATTTCACTCCAAGGGGAGATAAATTGATCATTGGGTTGTGCTCTAACTGTTAAAGCTGGAAGACTCATTTTATGTTTGTTGGAGAAGAGTGGGCTTCAAAGGCTGACAGAGCTTTAGTACCAACAAAATGAGACACTCGTAAGAGAATTGGTACACCCATTCTTGCTATTTTTCCTTCACTTTTTGCAAATGTGTACTCATCATATCCCTTCCAGGTTTCCCAGTGCTCTAGAAAGATCAAGAATGGAAGTTTGCAGGCTATGAGGACTCACCCCGTAATGGACTTTGGAGTTCTCATGCTCAAAGAAGGTGGAGCTAGAGACTCTCCTAGGCAATGCTAGGGCTAGTGCACCCTCTCCGAGACCTTGCGGTTCCTCTTTAAAGAGAAAGGGTATGCTAATTCCCTTGTATTCTCCTCCTTTTCTTGGTTTTTCATTAGGATAACACTTTTATCCTTCCATAGTGGACTGGACAGTAGTGGAGTCCCGTTATTCCACTAGGAGCACTCCTCTTCCTAAGATGGCGAGGGTCAACAATGCTTTGGTGTGCCCCTCTCAGATGACCCCTCTAGTGGCACCTCCTCAGTCAACGACTCCTTTAGAGGTGACAGTCAATCCAGAGACTCTCCTTTCGGCCACACCTCCTGCCCTCCCATTCATCGACTCCTCCTGCAGAGATTTCTAAGGGAGCACCTACTCAGACTGGCTCCATGTTGGGTGATGTGCAAATCGTCAGGGGAGTTTCTCCAATCGGAGTCCTTGGTGTTGTTCGATATGCCCATAATACAACTGGGAGTTCATTCACCCAGAAACCTTTTACTTTTTTCAGCCTCGTCTTTAGGTTACGTAGTATTATTCTGACTGTGACCTCTACCTACCCGTTTGTCTGAGGGTGCGCTGGGCTGGAATGGGCTACTTTATTTGGAGGTCAGCACAAAACAAGTTCAGGAGCCTATTGTCGAATTGTTTGGCATTGTCGCTGACTATGACATGGGGTACTCCAAAACAGCAGACCAGATTCTTTCAGATGAAATCCTTGACCTTTGCGTCTGCTATCTTTGCTAAGGGTTTGCCCTCTGCCCACTTTGTGAAGTAGTCGATGACTACTACCACAAACTTGCACGGCCCCTTACTTAAAGGCAAAGGGCCCAAGATGTTGATGCCCCATTTGGAGAAGGGTCATGGACTTGTGATGGTTGCCAGCTCTCTTATTAGTTGTCTGGTCACAGTGACCAAGTGCTGGCACTTGTTGCATTTCCTGGTGAACTCCTGGGCGTCCCTCACCATATTAGGCCAGAAATAACCATACTTAAGCGCCTTGTGGGCGAGAAAACGTCCTCTAGAGTGGTTCCCATAGACTCCTTCATGGATTTCTCGTAAAGGATAGTTAGTTTCCTCTAGGGAGAGGTACTATAGTAGTGGTAGGGAATAGCCTTTCTGTACAAGATGTCCCGTACGATGGTGAACTTGGAGGCTCTCATCCTGAGCTTCTTGGCTTCCAATGGGTCATTTGGAAATACGCCCTCCTGAAGGTATGCTTTTATTGAGGACATCTAGTTCAACTCGACAGATATGCAGTTGACATTAGTGGCTTCCACGTCTAGCCTGCTTGGTGCGAACTAGTGACTGATGAATGCTAGTCTCGATGAAGTCTAGCCTAACAAGTGCATTTGCAGCGATATTGTCTTCCCACGGGATGTGATAGATCTGGAAGTAGTGAAATTTAGTCAGCAAGGCTTACACTATGGCAAGGTACTCCTACATTCTAGTTTCTTTTGTTTCGAACTCACCCTTCATTTGGTTGACTATCAACTGAGAGTCACTATAAGTGTTGAGGTGTTGCGCTCCTATTTCAATTGCCAACCTTAAGCTACAAAGGAGGGCTTCATATTCTGCCTCATTGCTGGATGTTGTAAAGTGGAGCTTCACGACATACTTGATAGGAGTGTCGTTCGGGCTGGTCAGGATTAGGCCAACTCTGCCTCCTTCAGTAGTTGAAGAGCCATCAATATAGAACTTCCAATGAGGCGATAGAGAGTGGGCCATGGACGCTGTGGGGGACATTAAGGTGTTTGTTATTGGTGCTAGGATGCCCTGGACACCCTTGCAAGAAGCCAGGTTGTCTTGGGCACCAAGACTTGGTGCCTGAGTGTTTAGATGAGTTTCTGATGAGGCTTCCTAAGGTGTCGAGGGCACACTGCCCTCCTCATCCGCGGGTGTGAGCCTGACAATAAAGTCCGTCAAGGCTTGTGCTTTGATGGCTATTCTTAGTTGGTACTAGATATTGAACTTGCCTAGCTCTATCGCCCACTTAAGGAGTCTTCCAGAGATGTCTAGTTTCCCCATAACCCTCTTTAGAGGCTGGTTCGTGACAACGACGATGGTGTGACTCTGGAAGTAATGTCGGAGATGCCTTGCTGCTAAGATCAGGGCGAGCGTCAACTTTTCTAACCTTGAATATCTTATTTCTACTCCTCGGTATGCCCTGCTCACGTAATAAACAGGCTTTTGCACTTCTTCATTGTTCCTGATAAGGATGGAGCTTACTATCGACGAGGAAGCAGAGAAGTACAAGTACAAAATTTCACCTAGCATGACATGTGAAAGGAGGGGAGTCGTAGCCAAATAAGCTTTGAGCTTTTGAAAAGCTTCTTCTGCCTCAGGTCCCCACTCAAAGGCTTTCCAAAGAATCTTGAAAAAAGGCAAGCATTTATCTGCAGACTTGAAAAAAAATCTGTTGAGTTCTACGATTCTTCCGTTGAGGCGCTGGAGCTCCTTGGTTGTGGTGGTTGATTTCATGTCCAAGATGGCTTTGATCTTGTCAGGATTCACCTCAATTCTCCTCTGGTTGACCATAAAGCCCAAGAACTTTCCTAATCCAACACCAAAGGCACACTTCTCAGGGTTTAGCTTCATGTGGTATGACCTGAGAACATTGAATGTTTCCTGAAGGTGTTCTACATGGTCTGCTACAGCGAGGGTCTTTACCAACAGGTCGTCCATGTACACCTCCATTGTCCTTCTAATTTGTGACTGAAACATCTTGTTCACCAGTCGTTGGTAGGTCGCTCCCGCATTTTTCAATCCAAAGGGCATGACCCTATGGCAGTAGGTTCCCTTTGGAGTGATGAAAGATGTTTTCTCCTGTTCTGGGGGATGTATGCTGATCTAGTTATACCCAGATTATGCATCCAAGAAAATGAGTAGCTCATGACTTGCGGTGACATCAATGAGGAGGTCAATTCGTGGCAGCGGATAGTTGTCTTTAGGGCACGCCTTGTTGAGTTCGGTGAAGTCGACGCAGAAACGCCACTTTTCATTGACTTCGGTCACCATCACCATATTCGATAGCCAAACTGGATGGGCTACTTCTTTGATTGCCCCATTTTCTATTAGTTTTTTCACCTCTTTGTCCATCACTTGCGCTCTTTAATGGAGACGCTCCTAAGTTTTTGGCGAACAAGTTTGTAATGAGGGTCAACATTGAGGCAGTGTGTGGCGACCTCAAGGTCGATGTCTTTAAGGTCCTCGTGCGACCATGCAAACACGTCCATATTACGCCTCAGAAAATTGGTGAGTTGTTGGACTAAATTCTCGGGAAGGGAGGAACCAATATACACTCTTCTGTCTGGATGCTTCTCGTTCAGCACTACTAGTGTGAGCTCCTCTATTGGTTCTCTTCTCTCTAATGCGGCATCATTTCTAGGGTCAAGCACCTCCACCTGTAGTGTTTCTTGTGTGATCCTGGTCTTCATTGAGGAGACGTAGCATTCTCTTGCAGCAACCTGATCTCCTCGGACCTCTTCGATTCCATTTGGGGTTAGAAAATGGACCCAAATGGAGGATCAAATGACAAGTGGAGGGCACGACTCTTAAGGTGTTAAGAGTAGGTCGCCCTAGGATAACGTTGTAGGCTGACGGACAGTTTATCACCAAGAAGTTCACCATGACTGTAGAGCTCTGAGGTGCTGCGTCGACAGTGACTAGCAAGGTGATGGACCTTAGGGGATACACCTTCTCCCCTGAGAATCTAATAAGGGGCAACTTGATGGGCTATAGTCTTTATCTCCCAAGCTTGATCTTGTCATAAGCTTTTGCGAACAAGATGTCCACAGGGCTGCCGCTGTCTACAAGAATCCTTCGTACTTGGAAGTTGGCCACAGTCATAGTTAGCACCAGAGGGTCATCATGGAGGTGCTGAATTCCTTCTAGGTCTGTATCTAAAAAGGATATGACCTTGTCGTTTCCTTTTTTTAGGTGCCTTGGACAGGCGCAAGTCGCCAAGATGTCT